TATATATATATATATATATATATGATATGATGTCATTGTTCTTCTAATTTTTGTTTTTACAAGTTAGGTTTTTTTTCGGAAGGTTTTTTACCATTTAAGAGATAGAGGAAAGATCTACCTACATCATACCTTTGAGAATATGGATTTTAATAAAATTTACTAGATTTCTTTGTTTCAAAATCTTGGTAGTAGTGAAGTTACCGAGTAAGATGATTACCAAAGTGATGCATTTCCCAAGTCCCCAATTATCCAAACAATTGAATGGAAACTTCCATGCTCCTAGATTACCTATCCAAAAACCTCCAAACAGAATTGTCCAACTCTACCACCTTGTTCTCAAACCTTTTTTTATAAAGGAAATAATAGAGAAAAGAATGGGAAAAATAAAATATAACTATAACTTTTTAGAAGGGAAAGGAAATGAATATATGGGAAGATAGGGAAGGAAAGAAAATTTAAAAGGAGTCTGTAATCTTTTATATGACAAAAATACCCTCATAAGAAACAGATATAATGCATATATGTAAAGATGAAAATCTTTCTTTTTTTTCCGGTTAGAGAACATGAAAAATTGTTTACTTTCCATTTCTTCCTTTCTTTTTCCCATCCAAGAACACAAATGAAATAATTTATTTCCCTTCTTTTCTTTTCCCTTACTTTTTCTCTTTCCTTTTTTCTCTCCAAATTCGAGCCAGTGTAAGTGGTGCACACCCATGGCCATGCTGAAATGCAGCTCTAGTTGCGGTAAAGCCAAAAGGCAACTAAGCCGGCTAAGCAGGTGTGCACCCACAGATGTTGATGTATAACATGGTCAGGTTTGAACTTTGAAGCCAAAAGATAGGTCCAAAAAAGATGCACATCCATGGGAATAATGTTGATGTAAACTGTAAAGCATAGTCATGGCTTTGAATGAAGACCATACCTTTTAACTTGTTGGTCATTTCTCCTATTTAGGACTAGATTTCATTCAAAAAAGAAGGTTTGTTGAAAGAAGAGAAGCTTTAGCAGATGCAAAATGCTTTTTTAGGGAACACAACCCACTTAACAAGAGGAATAAAGCCAACCCTCCTCTTAAAGCTCAAAGGTAAAGCAAATACCATAACCCTTTAACAATTTCATCTTTACATACCACCTACAAAAAATTGTATGGAAAAGGGACACTAAAGATATGTTTTCTTGGCTTCCGTTCCAATCCCTCTCATGATAATAATACATTTGGATTTGATTCCTTCTAATTTCATGCAAAAGCTACCAAACATCCCAATCCATGAATCTTTGAATTCAAAGATTGAACAACTGCAAAAAAACACCCATCAAAATACCTTCAAAAAGCTTCACCCTTTTCTTTCTCCATGTACTTCTACACAACAAAACAAGCAATATAACTGCGTATCTCAAAGAATCGAAAGGAAACCCGCATGCAGATCTTGTGAATCTCCCTTTCTTTCTTCTAATTTCAGATATACATAACTCTTCAAAGCCAATTCTTTGCTTTCTCATGCTCGGTCAGGAGGTTGTCTGGTATTTCTAGTTCTCCTGATAACAAACATCCTGGTAATATTAGAGAAAGACTAGTAATAGCACCATATAAATGTACATAAACCAAACCAAACCAAGCTGCCCTGTAAATCCCACTCGACAGTAGGGTCTCTGGGGTCAAATTTACGCAAACCTGACCTCTACCTCAAAAGAGTGGGGCAGAGGGATTTGTGAAGACCCCCGGCTTGTGCAAGAGTGTGAGCAAACAGGTAGAATGCATGCCATGAAGACTAACATATGGTAAACTCAACACGAGAGAAATGAAGAGATAGTACATATATATACTCTAAACATGCAAATGCATGTAATTCCCTTTCAAAATGTACTTAAATATGTAGTATATTTAACTTTTCATAATCTTTAGCAGAAACTGCATCAGAAAACTCGGTTTCGTATAAGATTCAACAATGACATGATATAAAAATATACGGGAATAAGAGAAACTGGCCTTTAAAGTACAACTCAACTGAGAATTGTCCTTATCTTTGGATAATAACACATACCTGTTATGGATAGGATCAGGTCCATTTGGCACTCTTCTCTTGCTCACGTAACTGAAAACCGAACCCTCTTGCCTCTTTGCTCCTCTCGACTTAAAACCTCCGAAACTTGCAGTAGAAGGAACTGCAAGTGTTGCCTGTATGGTTGTAGATACTGCAAACAACAAAAACCAGCAAAACCCCACCAACAAAACTGATCTGAAAACCACACTGGTGTTCCTCTCCATCACTCTCTCTAATCTCTACCCTTTATCCCTTCAAAAATCTTCTCCAAAAGAGGATTTTAAGCAGTCAAGAATTAGGGATGAAGATGAACTTGTAACAATCATGTTGGTAACTGTATCAGGATAGTGCAACTCTCCACCTCATATAGAATTCAGAAGCAAGGATCTTTGGAGGGTGGGGGTTGGGAGGGGGGAGAGACAAAGCAGGGGAAGGTATGTGTAGTTTTTTGTAACTTGGCAGGTAAGGTGCCACCTTTCTTTATAGATGGAATACTGCAAGCAAATATAAATATATATAGAGGGAGGTTTAAATATATATATATATAGAGAGAGAGAGAGAGGAGGGGAGGTTAAAGGGAAAATTCCAAAGAAATGAAAAACTGAGAAACACCCTGGTAATCAAGAAAGTATGCACATGTAAATGAAGTTGTTTCTTGGTTTTTATGCATGTGTGCATGTTATGCACATATGCATACCGGACAAATTGCTTACAAATTACTTTTATGCACATGTACATACTGTTCAAATAAACGGATACTACAAATAAACGGATACTAGGGTGTTGGTCAAATTTTTATTATTTTATGGTTTTATTTTGTACCTGACCCTCTATATATATCATATCTTTCACTGTATGAAATAGAATGTAGAAAACAGAAGTTTGATAAGCATTGTTTCTTTAGGTGTTAGGTTGGGTCCACCATAGAAGTTACCCCACTGATTTGTTATATCAAAGGGGACCCTTACTAACCTTCCTATTCCTAAGTGCAGGTGGTTGGAATTCATAGGATTTTGTGCAAATCCAGTTAAATATACAGTTTAGGAATCAGATATATTTGCAGTTGCAAAAGACAATTACGAGCTAAACAAGAATAAGGGATCAAGTTTTTGATCAATAAGATTGTGCATTAGGGGTTATTTTACTATCTGCTTACAGTCTCTTACGCGGTAAGAGGTGCTGACCTGGTCAGAGATGGTGTTGTTTACCAAGCCTCTCTTAATTACCGGTCCAGGATGCTGACCTGGTAAGCTAAGGGAGGGACTCTCCCATTTGTTAGCAACTTAATGAGCTTAATGGGACTAATAGCTTATTCAGTCAGCTATTTGTGACTGTTTGGTAGTGACTTAATGATATAGAAAGTGACTTATTCAGTAAACTTTTAGGCGTGAGTTCTATGGAGAAAGCCAAGTTTTTTTCCCAAACCTGCCCCTTCTTGTTAAAAAACACGCTCCTTTCATATATGAAAAAACCCTCCCAATCTATACGGACAGATTAATCCACACAGACAAAATTATGCATACAGGACTTGGAGGGACAACAGGGACTGGTTACTTTTTTTTTTTCCAATCAAGTCCTGTGTGGGTTAAGTTGCTTGTCTAGATAAAAATGTATTGTTGTTTGAGACAGACAAAGAGAGGGTTGCATTATTTTTAGGTCATTTTTGGTATTAATTTGTTTGAGATTGCTTAATGGGACAGGTGAGGGGTCTTGGCTTATTCCATATAGCCATTTTGGCTTAATGGCTTGATGATTAAGCCGTAAAGAAACACTCCCGTATTGTTGAGCGAATAAGCCGCACATACCATTAAGCTCATTAAGCCCTAAGTACACAACCCCGATAAGTGTCGACTCAAAACGCACTCTTACCTGGTTATCACTTACCCAGTTTGTGTCAGTAAACCATCAACAGTCCCTTAGTTCATATCAAAGACTACCAAACCTTCGACCGTCATAAGCTTATAACAAAAAAAGATTTCAAGAATTATTTTGAACAAAACTTGCAGAAAACATGCTGAACAGGTTGGGAATTCAAAGGGAAGACACTGTAATATGACACTAGTCTCTTTATCAGACAAAGAAGGAATAGGTCCCCCCTCCCCCCCCACCCCCAAGATAAAGAAAACTTGATGGACCCATTGATCAACATTAAAGTAACTCAGTATCCAGTACAATTTTGTCTACATATGCATTAGACCAACACTATGTCATCCTGAACATAAGTTAGAATCCCAGATTCTTAATTCTTGATGCTAATAAAAGCAACAGTTATGTATGAGATTTTTAGAGTATGACTACCACTTTCTGGTATCAAGATTTCCAGACATATAGTTACCTAAAACTCTACATATTTAGTGGTCCAACTGCTTCTCATTGGAACAAAATCATTTTTTTTTTGTTAACCATGGGTGTCTGGGCCAGCTTGCATTCAACTCGACTAATTCGAGAGGCCTAGAGAAAAGGAAATTCCATAATGACCTTGCAGGACTTGAATTAGTGACCTTTTAGAGGAATCCCTAGAAGCCCGAGCTTTATTGTTGTTCGAGTAAAATCATATCCCAACTTTACTAGGAATATACGTAATGTCGATATAGTCACATTCATGTTCTATATGTTCAACTCAACCAGCCTTGTTTCGGATTCTTTGTACGATTGTATTGTATGGTACAAAGTCTATGGTGCTTAATTATCGTCAAACAAAGGTTCATCAGGCTTTAAGAGAACTCTAATTGGATGAAATATGAACGGGCCTGTTTGTTAACAGCTTATTCGGTCGATTATATATGATTGTTTGGTAGTGATTTAATATATAGAAAGTAGCTTATTCAGTAAGCTTTATACAGAAAGCCAAGTTTTTCCTATACCAAACTTCATCTCCCCCCAAAATTAGAAAAACACTCAAATGTGGGCTTATCCCCACTAAAATACAAAATTGTTCCAACCACACACTAAAACACAAAACTCTAAATATAGAGGCCTCCTTCAATTTAAAAAAAACAATATATATATATATATATATATATATAGTGTTTTAGTGGTGGGTTGGAGCAAACATGACGTCTATTTTAGTGTTTCAGTGGTGGGTTGAAGATGCCGTAATAAGGTAGTTGTTAGCTTGACTGATAAGCTAGTTATGTCTGGTAAAAACTAGCTGATAAGTTAGATGACAATATAAAATAGACATGTTGATAAATTAATTGAACATATAGGGTGTAACCGGAAAAAGCCATCTTATGGCCCCTCAGCAATCTATACTTGTCTAGCCCTCTCTTGACACCCTAGAACAATCTGTGTCCGCCTAAAGAGGGCGTGTTAGAGTCCACATCAACTAAACTTATACCATTTATACTCTGTAAAGGACACCCATATCAGCCAACTTAAACCCAAGGCCCACGAAATAGATCAAGGAGTCGCATATAATCTATTTACAGGAAATAAAAAATCTTATGTTAAGATTAAGAAACAGCCGACTTATGGCCGAATTACCCCCCAAAAAGATCAAATTTAGGGGCTGTTTACTAACTGCTGACCGGGCTGACTCGGTCAACATATCTCTCGGTCAACGGTCAGAGTGTTTACTAAATCACGGATCTGACTGAGATCGGACCGAACGGCTGACCGAGATCTTACCCGGTCAGCATCAATTTCATGCTTACCCGAGTCAGATTTTACCTTTCCATACTTGCCCCTTTTTCACGATTAGGTTTCACCCGTCGCTCCCTATTGCTCCTCCTCCTCCCTTGTCGGTCCCGGCTCTCCCCGCTACCACTCGGTCGATCCTCATCCATCATCGCTCTCGGCCCTTCTCCTTTCTCCCTTGTCGCTCAAGCCGTTTCTCTCTTGGCTGCTCGAAAAGGTACATTTTTTTTAACTGATCAATATATACATTTGTCGGGTTTTTCTGTTTGGAAATTGTCCCATCAACCAAATTCATGTTCTAGCTATTTTTCATAGTCTTTTCTTAAAATAGTCGATCTTTATGAAGATGTTTTACGCATTTGCATAAAAACTCATTTTGAAAGAAAGAAAAATCTTACACAAAAACCTCAATCTTCACATAAATAAAGCTTAAACTCCGGTTAAATGAGAATTCAATTGTAAAAACAGCTAAAAAATAAAGTTGTTTAGGGAGATTAAAGGGGTGTTTGGGATTGCTTATTTGAAACCATTTATATTTTTTTACAAAAACACTTATCAACTTATTATAAGTCAGAAGAATTTAACTTCTTCAAAAACTTCTTATTACCGGTTTGACACCGGTATAAGTTGTTTATCCAAACACTCAAAAAGTGTTTATTACCGATGATACGCTTAAATAAATCAATAAATTATTTTTATAAACAATTCCAAACACCCTAACTATTTTACTCGATTTCCTCTATTTTTAAATCGGTTCATCTATGCCCAAACCCAACTCACAAAAATATTTTTCACTATAAAATATTTTGGTTTATTTAAATATAAATGATATTATAGTTATAATATTTATTTGGTTGTTTGGTGACGTGTTTCGTGTTCTCAAATTTTTATTATTAACCTGGATATCCAACTCATTATGTAGCTGATCAATCCTAGGACGACCACATGCTTCATAGTTAGCTCAGAGTCATCGTATTTGAACCCCCGTGACCATAAGAGAATCTTTATTCCTCCAAGGATGTGAATCTGGGATCTCCAGACACTTTTGGTATTTGGAGCTCAAGCTCAAACCAATTGGGTACCACCCTTGTGGTTATTATTAATTACAATCCACCGTAAAATAAATAAGAATATATTTATAAAAATCATATTTCTTTTATTTTATTTTTATTAACCTGTATATCTAACCCGCTAAGCGAACCGACTAATCTCAAAGCAACCACGTGCTTTGCGGGTAGCCCGGAGTTACCGCATTTGAACCTCCGTGGCCACAAGAGAATTTTTATTCTTAATTGGATTTGAACCTAAGATCTTCCTACACTTTTGACCTTTAGAGCTCAAACTCAAACTCAAACCAATCACGTACCATCCTTGTGATTCATTTTTCTTTTATTTTATCTCATATTCAAGGACTTAAAAGAATTCATTCCTTTACGTTCCCTTTCCCGAATCAAGAATTTCGTCTTTTTTTTTTCTTTTCAAATTCGAAAACACGATAATTAGTAGTTGAACCAGTGGGTTTGGATGTATATTTAAATGTTAGATAGTTTTAATTATTAAAATAATAATAAATAGACTGATCCAGAAATTATGTTTATTGATGCATATTACATAAAATTCAAGATTACAAGTAAATTATGCATAAGTACAACTTATTAAACCTTCATGCTTGAATTCGTGTAACTAACTGCATATAAATATAATTAAATAGTGGATAAACATCTCATTTTAAG